AATGAGACAAGTTATTTCATATAAATGAACTAAGAATTTGTAAATTGCTTTAACTTTTTCTCATATAAGAGCTGTTGGATAGTTCTTGTAATTTGAATCAACTAATTATGAATGTTGAAAAGCACGTCAAAAATAGATAGCATTTCCAAGCATAATAAAGGTGGAGTTTCATCTAGTTGGATAATCCTGACACAAACCACTTTTCCCATTAGGAAATTTTGTGTAACACAATCTAGAAACTTTTTGTTTCCTTGCCTGAGATCCTTTCTCATACTTAGTACTCTCTCTTATTTTCATAATATAACTATCAATCTTCTTCAAACCTTCATGTACCATAACATTAATAATATGAGTTGTATAACGGACTTGAAAAAACCACCACAACATAACAAGCCAGCACATAAATTTATGTCAAAAGTGCTTGGACTCCAACCCACTTAATACATTGAAAGAGAAAATCGTGCATAATAATAGATTCAATGAACACATCATGAAATTCTATGTGATCAAACTTATTATTTGACATAAACATGGAAGAATCAAAATTGGTTTGTAAGATCAACTATCTTATATCACGCATATTTCTTTTCCTACAATTTTGAAGGTGGCGCCTTAGATTACCAATTCCATCTTTTCCATCACATAAAAAAGTAGAGCCACATGTTTTAAATTTATATATTTTTTCTTTCCACCTTTATATTAGGAAACATCTCAAAATGGCCCCAAACAACTGAATTCATCCTTTGCCGCTTCTTAGTAAGTGTCCCCTCCTCATTACATACATATTTTTAAGGGCTCTACAATATTTTTTCAGAAGCCCGAACTTCTTCATTTTTATCAAATGAAAATTTCTCAAGAATGGTATTGGAATCCTTCATCAAGCCAAAATATTAGAATATATTACAATACTAATTATTAACTACTTCTTAAATGTCATGTTTAAAAAAGACACATTGACACAATAACTACTATGACAATATAACACTTTAACATATTAACTCGTTAACTTCTATAACTAAATAACAAATTCACTAACTATCAATCCTTAGCTCCTTGTCAATTTCCATATAACAACTTTTCCAATATAACCATAATAATATAACAATTAACACATTAACCATTATTCCAATATATGTATATAACAATAATAAATTAAATACTATAACAACATAAGTGTATAACATATTAACTAACTGAAGGAGATAAAATAGCTCAATTTATTTTAACAATGTAATGAATTAATCAATAAATCAAAAATCACATGCACACAGTGATGCATACATCTAAACGACCACACCATCAGTGTATGAAGGAATGACTAAGAAGAAGAACAATCTAATTAATCATTAACCAAAACATGTAAATCTCCCAGAAAAATAATAAAACTGAAAACCCTAACAAGCTGAACAACAACAACTCAAAATACATGGAAAAATAACAAAAGCCCTAACCAACCAATGTATGTCATACATATTCATAATTTTAGACAAACTAAGACAATATTTGACAGAATAACAACAAATTAGAAAATCCTAAATGAAACATTCCTTCAGAACTCAGAATTAGGTAAGTAAGTGTAACAAACCAACATGAAGAAATACCCATAGATGCTCATAGATGAAGTTTGAAAAAGAGAAAAATATAAAATAGAAATGAGATATAAATAGTGGTGAACAATATAAGTGTTCTTCGTGAGGCCAAGGAGATGTGCACGGTGAACACCCTGGACCAATACTATGCAAGAGAAGGAGAAGAAAGAAAACCATAGACAAAGCCAGATATCTAACGAGATCCAAGGAGATGAAAACCTATACAAAACAAAGAATGAGAAGAGATAAGAGCATGTATTATAAATCATAATGAGAACTAAATATCATCTGACAAACACACTAATAAATTACATTCAGTCGCTCGTTGCCTCGCACGAATTAGACCGTGCCAGTCATTATGAGTCAAAATTCAGGTTCTTGGGATAACCCAAACCTGATCCAAAATTTTAAATGGTTTCAACTTATAGACCCTAGCCCAACCTATTTCTAAATCGAGTCGACCCTAACCCAAAATTTTAGGTCAGGTTTGGATTGGGCTATCGTGTCATGTCAATTTTTGATAGCCCTAGCTTAAAGAATCTTGAAGCACCACTGTTGGTAAACCATCTCCACTACTCAATCATCACAGTTCATCCATCTTGCCACAACCGCTAGCCTTAACCCTATCGCTAACGCCAGACCTCGGCCCAACCATTATCGTTGAACCTCCCCCCGCCCCAACCATTATCATCTAACCTTCGATCAACCACCGTCATCGAACCACTAGTTAACTACAGTATTTAGATCACCATCACCCAAATATGATCTCTCTAAGCTCAATCTCCTAACTATGATCACTATCGCCTAACTGTGATCATGTTGGCCAAACAAATAAACCAATGATCTCTTAAGTACAAGTCTCACGTCATTGGAATCTTCCAACTCCAACCATGAAACATGCTCTATATGATATGTATTTGTTATATTATGCTAATGCCTTCTTTCATAGATTGCATCCTTTGTAATGAAAAACAAGCACTAATAAAATCTTTTCAACTTGGCGAGTTTCCATGATTTTTCCTCTTTTGAGGGTTTTCTATTTAAAATTTATGGTGTCTCTATCGACTAGACTCCTTGTACCCCTATCTCTATTTGTATGTATGTTGGATTTTCGTATAAAGCTAGGACATTAAACTCTCTATGTCTCTACCATCATGAATGTCCTAGTACGCAACAACTATCTTTTAAATTGCTCCTAAAACAATTTCATAATATATTAACTTTAAGATTTTAAATTGGGTTGAGCTTTCAATGGATTATGCCTGTCTTTATTTTAAGTTATGGCTTGTTTTAATGTAAATATTAGAAGTATAAATTAAAGAAAAATTTTAAATTTTGATTATTTTGATATTTAGTTTAAAAGAAATCAAATATAAATTTTTTTTCGAAAAGAATTAAAAATATAATTTTGTATGAATTAAAATTTGTTCAAATTTGGAAAAATTCCAAAAGATATATAATTACTAATAAGTTTTAATTTTTTTACCAGTATAAATTTGTTAAATATGATTTCAAATTCCATCCATCATTTTCTTGAAATTTATAGCGGACCCGTACCTTAAGCAATGAGACTCTTTTGGATGTGTGATAACAAATTGATTAGTGTACCATGACCACCTACTTATTATTATAGGGTTGTTTGGTTATCTAAAAAAGGAATACAAAGTAAATAGAATAAAGTGTAAGCAATGCGAAACTCAATTCACCATACATTTAAAATATTGATATATATCTACTACAATTATAACTCCAAAATCATCTAGATATTAACATGATTAATCTAACATTGTTCCACAATATTAAAGTACTTATGAAAATCCTTTTGCATCCATTTAGGCTTAAAATATGTAGGCTTTAAGTGAAATGATTGTATCATTATTGGGTTCTTTTGAGGCTTTTATTCTACTTTGAATAATATTAATGACTTGAGTTATACTATCAACCGTAGTAACAATATTCTCATGAAGAGTTCAGTCAAAAGCAAGAACCTAATGCTTTTTATTTGGGAAAATCCCTTAGAAGATGATGAAAATGCTTGCTTTGTAATTCTTAGAGAATATTTTTTAATTTCTATTTTGGCCAGTTCATTAGCTTGTGATGCATTTACCCTTATGCTCATCATCATCTAAGTATATTTATTGAGTTCCAAGTCGAAATTGAGAATTTACATATTTTGCTCATTCTTTAGTAGCATGTCATTCATCGCATGCATTCTCTAACTTCATATAATTTATGATTATAATATTAATTAGATTATAATATTCAAAAAGATGGCATTAACTATATATATATATAAATGATTGATAATGTATATATTAACAAAAATAATTAATTTAATTAATTTTTTGTTTGATTTTAGTACCATTGATTAATAACTAAAATTAAATCAATAATCAACTAATTTTAAAAGTAAAAGAAATTCTCCAAAGTTTCTTCAGACCATAATTAGCCTAAACAAGGCTTGTGGTTAATGGATTGTAAGGCAGAGGATTTTTAAAATACATAAATTTAAAAGAAAAGGTTGTTGAAATGCATGTGTTTTAAAAATATATATACAAGAATTATTTATTATTATGTTGCTCAAATGAATTGATTTGTTTTTTTTTTTCACTTTCAAATACATTTAAAATGCTTTGAAATATGAAGGTTCACGAAAGTAAACAATAGTAGCAAGTGGTAGCGGGTGATGCCAGGTATCAACTGTCAAGAGGCGTCAATAATGGCAATGAGTGAGATCATGTTAACGAAGATAAAGAAGATAGGCATCAAATATCAACTGCCAGCAAGCATGGGATAATTTTAGGTATTGAGCGACAATAGGAGGTCATCTTAGATTCTTAGTCATTAATTCTCTTGATGTAAAGGGAAGATCATGTTACATAGAGAAGATAGGCATTGGACGTTAGTAGCTGACAAACATCAATCATCAATTATTAGCAAGATTCGCGTAATGATTGACTAGGAACATTAAAAGTTAGACAATAGTGAATAGTCGGCTTGATTATTTCTTGTGATAGAGATAATGAAGATGACATCAAACATAGGTAGTTGATGGATGATGGACACGGATCAACTATCCTGTGTTGGGCTACTATTGCCTAGCTCAGCTTCAAATATGCTTTAGTGTCGAAACTACCAAATCACAAGGTCAAGAAATGTCTAACTGGCATACGTAAGTATTTCCTATCTAACAATAATTCTAAGCTTTAAAATTGGCATGGTGATGAAGCCAGTCATCATAAAGTAAAATGCATGGCAAGGTAACCATGGAATTAAGAACAGGTCAGTTCACACAACTACACTGAACATCTCTCTGCAAAAAAAAAAAAGGCAAGATATGTATGAAAACATCAAATATGATTATGGAAGATTTTTGATTCGAAAACAAACTGGTTGAACAAACATTATGAAGAGATAAGTGGACGACATATTTGGTAATTTTATTAAAATTTACAAAGGTAAATCATGCAGAATAAGTCGAGCAGAAATATAAATATAAACCTTAATTTCTTCATTCAAAAAGTAGTATCTAGATTTCTAGCTTAAATAGATAGAATTTCAACGGTAGCGAAGGAGAACGTCAAATGCCTCTATTACATGCAGCACAAAGTATGTAAATCTCTGGTTCAAATTCAGACCTTGGACAACTAAAGTATGGCTCTTTATTAGCGCAGAGAATGGATGTAAGGAGTAGGGCTTTACTTATTTCCTGTTCTTGGTATCTTGCTTGTCTTTCTCACGCTTACTATACAACCTTTCCAGAACTCGCTTTGCCTCACATGAGGGAAAGTTGCTGAGGTCGTAATAGTGTGGAGCTATGTCAATTAGCCTGCATATGGTAACAGCATCAACAGAATATTAAAATTACAGTGATTCATAATTCAACTTCCTAACACTTCAAGCGACACAAAAATAGAACTGATGATCAAATTATAAGCATTTAGCTTCTTTATGAGATAGAATATGAAAATACCTAACGAGAAATGCATTAAAAGTTAAAACAAATCAATCAAGTTGCCGTTGCTAGAAAAGAAGACATGAAGAATATATAGAGTTTGAAATACAGAGTTTTGTATATATAGCAAAGAAAACCAATACTCATCTTTACAACTTTCAGCATGACACAATTTTGAAAGAAAAAAAAAAGAACTAACAAATATTAACAGGACAGATGGGTCAAATTTGGCGTTCACACCAAACATTTTACCTACATTGTGGTGAATACGGGCCATTAAGTAATCAAGTGATATATTCATAGGCAGATCGCCATACAGTTCAGAGTGGCCAAATAAAAAATAAAAAATAAAAAGAACAGACATGGAGCATAATTTTGGAATTCCGCAACCCCCCCCCCCCTCCAAGATTTTTTTTACCTTAATGTCCCCCTCATATACCCGCGCCCCTATGTGTTTTTCCTTCACTCAAGTGTGTGCGGATTCATTCCGAATCGCAGCCTTCGCTCTTCCTTCTCCCTAGCTCATGATGTTGTCCCCTGCACGAGTTGTGATCCGCTGATCACGACGTTGTTCCCTGCACGAGTCGTGATCCCCTGCTTGCGACATTGTTCCCTGCACAAGTCGTGCAACACAACCGTGACATCTTCTTTATGATTAAGCACGACCTCTCGTGTTGTTCCCTGCTCGACCGGAGGTCGTGCTGTTCCCTGCTCGACCGGGCGACTTGCTTTATTCTTCTCAACCATCGCATGATCCTCGCAGTCAGTGCAGGAGCCCACCGGTGTCATGATCTCGCCATTTTCGAATTAAAGGTAAGGGAAAATGAGGAATTCCTTATTTTCTCTTTGTTTTTTAAGATTATTTTTAAGTCACTGAATTTTGTTAGGGAAAAGGGCACAACTATGGCTTCTAAGCTCAAGGAGAACCGAGTTTGTCCAGGTGAAAGTTGACGACATCAATAGCATACAAGCCGCATTAGAAGGTGCATTCTCATTTAAATACAATACTTGCTTATGTTTATATATTTTTTATTATATTCAGATGTATGGATAGCTTTGCATACTCTTTGAATGTGAGATGGGTTTTGTGGCAATGAAACCCGTCTCTTTTAATTTTAGCACTTTTTATTTTGGTTTTGGAAATTTGGTCTTTTTTAGATGTCTGGTTAAGTTGCGTGTATAATCATTTTGTGTGTGGGTTTGTGATAACTTTATAATATGATTATTTATAGATTTTTTAATTTGAACCACTAGGCTTCTCTTTGATGATGAGTTGGTTTATATCCTAAGTGAGGTCTCTTCTAATGTAATTTATAAATTTAACAAATTAATGCTTTTTTTTTTAATTTAAATGATAACTCCTAAGAAAAGATCAATGTAAAAAAAGTCTCATGCTTTTTTTAATCAAAAGTTTATATTTTGGAAGGGAAGTAAAATAATAATCATTGTTACATTAATTGACTAATCAGGAGCATTTTATATATGGATCGATTTTTTAAAAAGAAAGAATGTGCCGAGATTGATATTAACAATTTCCCTGCTAACCCTAGGCTTCGGATGTCAATCTGGAGTTACGATGTAAATGACAGGGATAAAGTTCAGAGAGCTTATTTGTTGAGAGGGCCTCATCAATCAAAAAATCATCATTTGCCTCAAACAATGATTGAAAATGTTGCAAGAAAACTTAACTCGAAATGGTATGAAGAATTTATTGACTGGTTAGAATATAATGTACAATAAAATGTTATATGTTATATGTTAAAATGAAGAATTTGAGAGGGAAAAGCTTGAATTTTATTATGCAATCTACTCCCTATTTATAGATTTATACAAGGTGTATTGATAAGGAAACAAATAATTCAAGAATAATGAGAATACAATTATTCCTAAATCAACTATGGAAGGAATTAATGTGAACCAGGTGGTCTTCCCACAAATTACTGTTCACAGCCGTGGATTCTTTTTGGATTGTGAGGTTGAGATTTAACACTCCCCCTCAAGCTGGGAAATATGGATCTGTCATTCCCACCTTGTCAATCATTCGGAGAAAGGCAGAACTGTCCAATCCTTTAGTAAGGATATCTGCAAGTTGATCCTTTGATGATACATGGTCAACACTAACTAGACCACTATCTAGTTTTTCTTTAATAAAATGTATGTCCACTTCTATGTGCTTGGTCCTATCGTGCTGGACTGGATTGTGAGCTATGTTGATTGCTGATTTGTTGTCACAATGTAGCTTCATGGGTTCATCCCACTTAACCTTTAAATCTTCTAGAATTATTTTGATCCATAGTAGCTCACATATTCCCAAGGTCATAGCTCGATATTTTGCTTCTACAATGGATCTTGCCCACCACATTCTATTTCTTGCTTCTCCATGTAACTAAGTTACCTCCAAGAAATGTGCAATACCCAGAGGCATATCTTCTATCAACCGGCGATCCTGCGTAGTCAACATCCGTGTATACTTCTAGGGTTATTCCATGATCTCTCTTAAAGATAATTCATTTTCCTGGTCTTCCTTTAAGGTAGTGCAATATCTGTCTACCGCTTGCATGTGAATCTGCTTTGGATTCTGCATAAACTGACTAACCATGCTTATAGCAAATGCTATGTCTGGTCTAGTGTGGGAGAGATATATCAATTTCCCTACAAGTCTCTGGTAGGCCCCTTTATCTACATCTGGATCTTCTTTACCTTCCTCCAGTTTAAGATTAGGTTCCACTGGTGTCGGTGTTGGTTTACAGGCTAGTTTACCTATTTCTCTTAGAAGATCTTTGAAGTATTTATGTTGTGAAATGAAGATTCTTTTGCTATAGTGAACTACTTCAATTCTGAGGAAATATTTTAGTCTACTAAGTTCTTTGATGTCAAATTCCTTAGTAAGACTTTTCCTTAAACTGGCTTTCTCCTCTTCATTATTTACAATCAAAATAATATCATCAACATACACTAATAATATTGTGACTCCCCCTGAGTTTGAGTGTTTGAAGAATAGTGTATGATCACCTTGACTCTGTCGATACCCATTCAGGAGCATGAATTTAGAGAATCTTCTGAACCAGGCCCTTGGTGATTGTTTGAGCCCATATAGAGCTTTTTTCAGCTTGCACACCTTGTTACCTTCAGATTTTTCTTTAAACCCTGGTGGTATTTCCATAAATATCTCTTCTTCTAAGTCCCCATGCAGGAATGCATTTTTCACATCCAATTGTTCCAGGTGCCAATTGTACTTAGCTGCTAGTGAGAGTAGTATTCGGACAATATTCATCTTGGCTACAGGCGCAAACGTTTCTTGGTAGTCAATGCCATACGTTTGAGTGAACCCTTTTGCCACTAATCTTGCCTTATATCTATCTAGTGTGCCATCAGCTTTGTATTTTACTGAGAACACCCATTTGCAGCCGACCAATTTTTTCCCAATCGGTAGATTGACGATCTCCCATGTTTTGTTCTTCTTCAGGGCCTGCATTTCCTCCTTCATGGCATTTTTCCAATTTTTATCAGATAAGGCCTCAAAAATATCTTTAGGAATATGGATATCTTCTAATGTAACAAAGAAATTTTTGTGTGATGATGAGAAGTTGTTGAAGGATATAGAGTTGTTTATAGGGTATGAGAGAGGTGGTGAGCTTACCTTATTTCCAGGAGATGGTTCAAATTCTTGGATCTGCTTTGGAGCACATCTTGAGCTTGTACGTCTGGAGTAAACCTTTCCCAATCTAATGATAGATTTGTCATTTGTTTCCCTATCTTGGGTTTCAGGTGGATTGTTTTGAAGTGGTGGAGGAATGTCAAGAGGTGCTAGTTCATTTTCCTCATCTTACTCAAGTTCAGTCTCCCCCTGAAGATGAGTTTTTGAAAAATATGAATTTTGCTCATCAAAGGTAACATCAATAGAGCAAAGGTTTTTCTTGTGGGTGGATGATAACACTTATAACCTTTTTTGGTAGCAGAATAGCCAAAAAAGATGCATTTGAGTGCTCTTGGATCTAATTTTCCTCGCTCCTGGCTGTGAATATGAACATAAGCAGTGCATCCAAAGATTTTGGGTGAAAGATTATGATGGGTTCGAAACTCTGTGTAGAAAGAGGGCAGGGTCTCCATTGGAGTTTTGAGGCCTAAGGCTGTTGAAGGTAATCCGTTTATGAGGTAACCTGCAGTTAAAAGAGCCTCCCCCCAATAGGATTTGGGTGTATTGTAGTGAAATAGGAAAGCTCGGGTGGTGGCTAGAAGGTGACCATTTTTTCTCTCTGCAACCCCATTTTGTTGTGGGGTGTGAACACAAGAGGACTCATGGATGATCCCTTCACTCTGGAAGTAGGAGGAAAGGGTTTGGTTGAAATAATCTTTGGCATTATCCGAGCAGAATCTTCGTATTTTTACTCCGAATTGATTTTGGATCATGGAATGAAAGATGGGAAGAATGGTGCTAACATCATATTTATTTTAAGGAGATAGATCCAAGAGACTCTAGTGCAATCATCAATGAAAGACACAAACCAATGTGCCCCAGAGATATTGGGAATTTTTTAAGATCCTCATATATCACTATGAATAAGGTAGAAGGGGGTGTCACATCTTTCACTTTTGTTTGGGAATTAGGTTCTCTTTTATGTTTAGCCAACTCACAGGTTTCACAATGAAAATTTTTATTTTCTATTTTCTGGAAAAGTTGTTGATATATATGTCTTAGAACATCGAAGGATGAATGGCTTAGTCTATAATGATGAAGCCAAATAGTGGATTTCCTATCGACTAGGGATAACATAGAGCAACTATTTTTAGATTGGTGTGGTTCTTCCAGGTAGTACAATCCTGCTCTCTCCTTAGCAAGTCCAATCTTCTTCCCCGATCTCTGATCCTAAAAT